GTAGATTTACCTTTGTAGGTATGGGCTAATAAGATAGCTGTGCTATTGCTCTACTGATTGTGTTAAAGTATTAAACACAGCTGTTTTTCATCACAAAGCTCTTTAAAAAAAACTTTTTAAGTGCGTTTTAAACATTGAGAGAATTTGAAAAAGTGGATGCCTTAATACCACAAATAAATCAGGAATAACTATTTTCATCTACATTAGTGACCATCTGTTTCTCAATGTGTTGGGATCTCCCTCCTGCGACAGACCCTGGGGTATGTTCACAATATGCCTCCTGAAAAGTGTTTTGCCACAATAAAAGCATAATTGAGTAGTTTAATTTAATCTACATCCCTCCAATTTCTAGCAAACAGGGCTCACAGAATACAACTCAATATAGAATATAACTCAACAGGCACATGGCTGTATAATCAGACAAGCACAGAAGAAAATCTGAATAACAAATATGTTAAAATATATATATAAGTTAAGTACTAAAATAAGAACCCAATTTAACAATTAGCTAGGTAGATAAAAAACACTTGGATGTCTATGAATTCGAGAATAATAATAATTCAGGGCCATTGCTGGCAAATGACACGTCTTGAATCTTGCTTATTACAAGTCCGTAATGGAAGAAAAGCTACCTTGTGAAATATTTCATTATTTTAAATTTACTAAAAATAGTACCTATTGATATACAAATAAGAATGTGAAAAATCTCACCAGTTTCTATTTTACTTCAGACTTCAGATAATGATGATGGCTCATATTTATACATATGATTGCAGTCCAAAGCAAAATAGTTCTGTTTTAACAGTTTTGACTCTCACAAGGGTGTCAGTTCCTTTGGCGGTTTGACAAGTAGAGAGAAAAACATAACGGTGCATAATGACACTGAGTTTGGTTTCACACACAACACATTTCTGCTGCATTCAGATTTCATGATTCAGAGATTGGGGGGTTTCTTAATCTAAGAATTATTATAAATAATCTTAACGAACATCAAACTCAGCAGCACATTGAATAGTGGTACTCTTACAGGGCACTACGTTTCTTATTCAGTGTCCAAAGGAATCTTGATTGATTGTGTTTGTAAATGAATCCCCCAAAATCTCATGTTGTATGGTTAACTAGTTGTTCATTGTACACTACTTTTCTGTAACACTGTATTCATTCTTCACTTATGTACATGGAGTGTTTTGAATCACGCAGTCACCATTGGCAGATTTTGTTTGGGTGCTAACGTAGCTTTTTTAATGCACTTAATCCACAACACGATGGCTTCTTTGGTATAATTAGTTGGGACACATTCACTTTAGCGACGATGTACATATAAATATACAATTCTATTATCAAGTAAGAAGAAATTATAATATATGTCATTGTGACTGTTTGGACCTGAGTGCGCTCTTTCCCTTTCCAAGTGGGAGTTACCGCATTGTCTCCTACACTTAAGGTTTTAGCTTCACTTTGACTTAGATACAACTGGACCAAATGTATGAAGGACTTTAAAGTGGATTTTAAAGTTTGTCTTAGTTGGTCGATGTATTGTGGCACTAATGGGTTTTATAATGTATTAAGTGGTTTAGAGTGTTATTTATAGATTATTAATGTGTCAATTTTACCCCAAGTCTATTAAACGACCCAACTGATTACCTTAGATTACTCACTTTACACATTAAAGGCAAATTAATGTAATTAAATGTAATCAATTCCATTTTTTTTTCTCAAGTTATGATCAAGCAAAGACCATAAGCCATTAAACAATTCGGTTGTTCCTGTTGCTAATCAACATCAAGAGTAGACAAAGCTCAACAATGAATAGTCCTACTAGCAAGTGTTTACCGGGTAGACAAAGCCGGGTACATCGTATTCACCGGGCGTTTCAGGGCTGCTCTGTTGTACAGACGCTATCAAAAAGACTGCGGGACATTTCCTTCACAGGAGTGACTGTTATGGAATACAGTTCAGCCTAACTGAGAGTATCTTCCCTTCTGTTTTTTAAACAAGTTACAAAAAAATATTTTGCCTAATATAGAAACAAGAAAATTACAATGAAAAAAACATAAAGCAGAATACTATGAAATTCTTTTTTTTTTGCTTAGCTTCTGCCTCCAACAGTTTTGTTTACTCTCTCTGTGATCCCCTCACAACATTTCTGCCAAAGGATCTGCCATGGCTGCTCATTTGTAATTCGGCCGGGAACAACCAGAAATCAAAGAGCTATCTCGTATCTCACCCTTTTGCGATACTTCCTTTCAACGTCAAGATAAAGATTCGAGGAGTAAAAAAGTTGAGGGAAGATAGATGTGAGTAGATATATAGATATAGATGTGAGTAGATATATAGATATATCTATAGATATATATATTTATATATATATATATATATATTTATATTTATATATATATATAGATATATATATATCTATATATAGTGATCTATATAGATATATAGATATCTATCTATCTACAGAAGAACCTCGGACTGGGTAGCGAGTGGATCACTTTGAGGAGGTGGATTCAAGACCCGGGTGTGATCTGTCTTGCTGTTGTGCTTGTCCCAGTCCAGAGGAACTGAGCAAAGCAACTGTACAGGGCGTGATGCTCCGACACACACTCACGGAAGAACCCGCCTCATGCAGTGAAACAAGTCCAGCTTGATATTAATGTTTGCATTAAAATGTGATCTTGAAGCACATGTGTTTCGGAGGTTACCAGAAGTGACATTGGCAACATTTGCATCTGTTGTTCTCCAAGAATCCCATTTCAGATGCTCTCCTGCAAACAACTCTGCCACCTTGAATGCAACACAGCAATCCCTGAAAGAAAAAATAAAAGGAAAGCCATCAATGTGACCGCAGTCATATAGACCACCATGTGTGCTCCACTGTATATGGCCATCACAATGAAATTGAATGCAAGGGCTTTTCTTTAATTAAACTGAATAAAAAGTAATGACTATGAGCGGTTTGTGTCACCAATGATATAGATATAATTTACCTGTCTACTCGCTGGTATTGTGCCTTTTCTATGCCTGCAGCGCTGTAGCGCTGTGCCAGTCCCTCGTACATGGGCTTCAGGGACCTAGCATCAAAATGAACTTTAATGAAAGATTAAAACTAGTCATGATGCCAACTATATCATATATTACCCTAATCATTGAGGCCTTCATGTGTTTACATTTGACTGACTTTAAACAATTCTGGTGGTTTAATCTATTACAAGATTCTCATTTATTAGTTGAGTAACATCTGTAATATGCAACTAGTAATTAATGCAGTCAAACACAGATGAACACAACTATAAACTAACATGTGGCGTAATATGCAACTAGTAATTAATGCAGTCAAACACACATGAACACAACTATTAACTAACATGTGGCATAATATGCAACTAGTAATTAATGCAGTCAAACACACATGAACACAACTATAAACTAACATGTGGCGTGACACCAACATAAATGCATTTATAGACATGACACTTGACCACAGTATTTATGGCTAACGAGGTTTATAGTTTACTATTCTATCAGTATGTGCATAATATGTATACAGAATATAATGTAATATACAATATATTATTAGCATAATACATATACAGGGTATAGTGTAACATATACTATATTGTTAGTATTTACAGCTAAAGACATTTATAGCTGGCTGTTCTCTAAGTATGTTACAGTATATAATGTTTTAACAGTATAAGATGAACAGTTAGTGAGAATCTGTGTTAAATGACGTACAGCAGCAAACGCTGCATATTTCTCTAAATAATTATTACACATTACTGTTTAGTGACTTCCTCACAGCGCGAGGTCCGACGAAGATGCACCGTCGCTTCGGTGCTCTTTCCCGGGTAGACTGACTGGAGAAACAGCGCCACCGGTGGTCAAATATATGTTACATCCGTAGTGGTTTAGCACTACCATAGAGAATGAATGGATTTTTGGTTCGGGGATTTTAGCTAAAGATTTCACGGGTGCCGCGCGCACACATTTCTCCCGTATTTTCCTCCACAACTTTGTGCACCTCTCGACCGGAAAACCGATGTTTGTTGAGATCTCCCTCAATGAATCCGGAGGCTATCCGCGCGTCTTTATAGTCCGCCAATAACGGCTTGTTGAAGCGGTCATATTTACGCATTTCTTCCGACAAATGCTCTTCAATCTGATCCGTACTATGAAAACGGAAATGTGAGACGCCGTAAAGGATGTAGTTAGCGGACCAATCGCAGCCAGGTGCGCTGCGGGAGGCTTGCGTCTCTTGAAAAATGGGTCGACACACGCAAGGACGCAAGGAGGTGTGAAAAGGCACGCAGGGGGGTCTTGCGTCTGCGTCGCTCTGAAAACGCAGAAGCATAAACTAGGCTTTAGACACAAAATCGCAAAATGCCACACTGTCACACAACAACAAACAGATGACCCAAGAGACCAAATAAACATCTAGTAATTAGTCATGCACTCGGGCTTAGATCGGGGATGTGTTTTATCTGAATATTAATCGAGAATGGATGCTGGAGCAGAAGAATAAGAGATTTGAGGAAGGAGAAAGAGAGGCTGAATCATATTTATGCTTGTGTGCTCAATTCAATTCCAAAGAAAATGATATCACGTAAACAACAGATTGAGTTTAAACACACATTTCAACCTTAATCAAAAAATAAATGTCAGCATTTCTATTTCCATAGAAAATAAGTAGGACACAAGAACTCAAACATCTGTAAATGCGGAAGAGGATGTGCATTCCTCTCTCTGGTAACACCTGTTGTGTCCACCTTTTCATTGCGTTTCTACAATCAGTTCATTAAGTCATGCCAATGTAACGTGAGTTTAACCACAAAATACTAATTAGTTTTGGGGGGGTTTCGACCTGTGCATCATAACCTTCCACACAGCGTCGCCGTTTTTTGACCCAAATCCCGAAACCCGAGTGAGGCCGCGCGTGCGCTTCGCTCATCGGCCGCGAGACGTCGCCGTCTCCTCCTCGCTTCCCACCAGAGCGCTTTGCCGTCCGCGGTCACGTGACTCGTCATCTGTCAGGGGACAGCATGGCGGACATGCGTGCGGAGCCTCAAAACAAGTTGCGCCGAGTGTCCAGCTAACCCCTGCCGCGAGAAGCAATCGATACCGCCGCGAGAAGCCGGGTCCCCTCCTCCTCTTCCTCCCACCACCTCGGCGCGGTGCCCGAACAGACCGCAGAATGGAGGAGGAGAACAAACTTCAGTTCCCGTCTCTGCCCGCCATCACGGAGGATCTTCTGGTGAGTGCACGCGCGAGCCGCAGCTAGCACCGAGAGGCCGGCGGGCTAACCCGAGCTAGCCTCCGCTCCGGGGCTATCGGCTACTAGCTAAAACCACACCACACACACACGGCGGGAAGTATCGCTCACGTCCCGTGCTATGGTCGTCTTGTCCTTCCTCGGACACGCCCGCGTTGGAGCGTCTTTTCTTCGGCCACGTTAGCGGGTCGCTGCTAGTCGCCGAACAGCAGCACAAAGTGAGCTGGTGGTCATTTCTCATCGCGTCTCTCCCCCTCTTCGCAGGACTGGGCTTATCCGATGAGACGAGACATGCAGGTACGTGGCATGACTTTTATTAATAGTGTAATCGAATGAACCCCGTCGTTCTGTCATGTCCCCCATCTCAACCAATGAGTACAAGTCGATTCCATGAAAATGTTTAACAAAGTGTGTTGGTGTAAACAAACACGATGGTGTGGCCATTTCTTTGAACACAAGCATGATTATTTCTCACAAAGATCATCACACAGCAGAAGGTGTGACCCTTATTTAGAGGCTCACATCACATATGGGTGACCTTTGATCCGGGTCCACTTTGGCTGGTCAATGTAATTGTGAGACATCCACATGTAGTGTACCACATGTTGCTCAGTGTCCCACGCAGCTGTAATAGGTTTGTCTGTTTGTTTGATGTCCCGCTCTGTCTTTATTTTCAGGAGATATTACCGGGACTGTTTTTGGGTCCCTACTCTGCTGCAATGAAAAGCAAGGTACGTTTTGCACGAGACAACCACAAGTACCCAGAGACAGACAGAGAGACACTAAGACATTCGAGGCTCATATTGCATCTCTTCTTTGTCTAGCTGCCAATCCTTGAGGCACAGGGCATAACACATGTTGTGTGTGTCCGCCAAGACATCGAAGCCAATTTTATCAAACCTAATTTTGCTCATACATTTAGGTAAGTAAGAAGTCACATGACTATTCTACCAGATGTGAGGTGTTGCTAACCAATAAACTAATGTTGCATCTTTGCAGATATCTTGTGTTAGATATTGCTGACAATCCAGTGGAAAATATAATACGATTTTTCCCTTCGGTGAGTTACAACGTGTTCTTTTTACTTCTTTCTTTGCAAGTGATTGAAAGGCAGGGCCTTTTTGTTTTGCCTGACCTGTTCGTTATCCTCCTAACAGACTAAAGAATTTATTGACGGTTGCTTAGCAACAGGAGGTAAGGATGCACGCACGTTTGTGAAGAGTCGGAGAACAAAATGTATGTTTTTAATCAACATCATCTTTTGTCTTGTTCCTGCAGGCAAGGTCCTGGTTCATGGTAATGCAGGAATATCAAGAAGGTGAGGTTTGATTTCACATCTAATTTCACAGTTATTGTATGATCATTCACAAAATTTCCATTACATGTAACTGCCTTTTTAATATGTCCTTGGTCATCTTTATTTATCTGTTCCAGTGCTGCCTTAGTGATTGCATACCTTATGGAAACATTTGGGATGAAATACAGGTTAGTGTTTCTTTTGTTTGTTTCTTCACATAAAGTCATATACATGGTAGGTGACTTCTTTAAGCATAAATAAAGAGAATTGGATCAAGTTATCTTTGCTTACAGTGTGCACGTATAATATTGGAACGTTGAAGGCAGCACAGCGACTACAAGTAGCGCCTGTCAAATAAACCCCCAGAATCCGAATAACTTTTATAATAAAAAATAGTAATAGAAGCAGACCTTTTTCACATACAACTGGATGCTTTTTGCTGTTACTGATTGCAGTGGAAGATGTCGTAAACTTCTGCTTCATTTCCTCCACAGGGATGCATTCAGCCACGTCCAGGAGAGGAGGTTCTGCATCAACCCCAATGTGGGCTTTGTGCATCAGCTACAGGTTAGTCTACCTGCAAGAGAAAATGATTCAAATTCCGAGGAATCAACTCGACACGCTCAACAATTGAATGTTTCCAAGCCACTCCTCACTAACTGGTTTGTCGGCTGAATGTGCCGTTTCCGGCTCCTGTACTTGAAAGGTTGGCATCTGTTACACGGTTATTTGCGGTACTCAGTGTTAATCTGAGTGGTCTGCCCCTGGTGTGTCTCAGCAGAGAAGTATCCATGTACCATCTAGTCACGTTTATCATGTTGTACGTCTGGCTCGCAAGCCATGTTGGAATCCGTTGTCTCTGCTTTAGTGTAAATGATGACAGACACTCGTTTGTGCAAACGGGAAGACAAGTTACCCGTCTTGGATGTTCTATGAATGTGTCCTTTTTAAAGCACGAATGCTGTATTGTGTTCACACAGGTTATTCTTTCATTCTCTTGACTGGACATACTGTACCAAAGCGTCTTATTACAACAATAAGAGTACTGTGATTTGTTTGTTTCCCAGGAATATGAAGCGATCTATCTGGCCAAACTGACCATTAAGATGATGTCACCGATGCAGTTGGGCAGGTCGTTCTCTTTACAAGCTGGAATGCAAGGTTTGTACACGGGTCAGCACCTGTCTGCTCAATGTCTGTCTCTGTGTCAGCCAGACTTGTTCCAGATAAGCAGTCAATATAGTGTGGGCATAATGTTATTCACGGGCTAGCATTTGTTGTATAATTGGCACAACGTCATGGCTGATCGACCAGGGTTCAGGGATTATGCTCTAGAGGAGGTTACACAGCAGCGCTTATTGGTAGTGGTCTTTCTTTGAATCCCCCAAAGAGCTGATTCATCGTGTGGGGATTTCAAACAGTTTGCAGTCTGAAGTTAGATTCCATTCATTCTTTTTCATCTTCCCATTTCTGGAACAGGAAGCCGTAAACGCAGCCTGGAGGAAGACGATGACTTTGGAGCAATGCAGGTCACAGCATCCCAGAATGGATGAGCTTTGCGGATATTTAGCTGTGATGCAGTGCACTCGATTAATTTTTCCACATTTTTAATGGGATTAAAAATGTAAATATTTGAACTTTTTCTAAGGGAAAGGGGTGGGGGGGGGGACGGATGATTGCTCGTGTCTGAGACATTGAGTGATGGAGGAGATCGGGCCAATTTGATAACTTTTTTTTCTCGAGCTGTATGCACTGATTTTTTGCAGTTTTATAGTATTTAAAGCATTTTGCATTTGCAGCGGGACAGTATTGCAATAATGCACTTTCGATACTTGAATTTGTGTAATAACCAGAATGGGGCACTTGGCAAAAAAGGGAAAGTAGCCAAGACGGCGCCCAATGGAGGACATGAGAGGAATAGCTAATGCCTTTATTTTGGGAGTAATGGGGCTATGGACTAGTATCATGCTTAACGTTGGAGAGTAAGGAATGGGCAAAATAACAACTCACTGCTTAATTAAACAAGTCTGAGTTCTGTTTGGTTGTTTTTTCTCCTCTTATTTCAAGTGTATACTGTCTTTATTATTTCAGACATTGCGTTGAATTTCAGTAAGTGTTTTTCTTTAAGCCACTGACGTGTTTGTGCAGAGTGCGTCCCTCCAAAAAGCTGAAATCTGAGAATTTACTTTTAAGTTACATTTTAATTAACGTTTGATTGTCGGATCTTCAAACATCCTTTACAGAGCAGAGGCTCACTCACGTTCTAGTGATTCTACATACAACTATTTCCTGTTATGATTAGTAGACATGTCCGGTCCAGAGCTCGTTTTTGTATAATAAAACTTCCACAAAAGTTGTGTGTATGCTAGTAGTGTATGATCAATGCAATGGATTTGTTATACAACTGGGAATTGAGGAGTGAAACACGGTAGATTGTAGAACATTTTATGTTGCTTACATAGTTAAGTAAATAAATTACAATAAATATGAACCATTTTGCCAGAGTATTATAACTTAATTTACAAAATAATTTCTATCCATTTCCCCATAAAAATGTTTCCCTCGCTCTCACAGCAGATCACATTTTGAATACAGGCCCAATAAAAAAAGAAAAAACTTGGCTAATGGCTCACCTCTCCCTCAAAGAAAAAGAATTGTTTGCTAAAAATATACATAACAGTCTTGATGGTAATTCTTCATATTGTATTTAAACCGTTAAAGTTATCCGGCAACGCTGGTGTCAAACAGAACAGCTTTCCCAGATGTAGAGCACAATATACCAAATAGGACATGTTAGAAAAATGAAACCCCAGTAAAACCCAAAGGAATAATAAACTAATCACCCCTAAAGAAACAATTTCTTTGGTGGTTGCCCATGATGATCAATGAAACAGCTGAGACAGTGTGAGAAGAACTATGAATCACGATCAAAACGTATTCCCTACAGGATTCTAGGATTTGTAGTGAACTTGAGATGCTGTAGTCAGTTAATTAGCTATATCATAAATATGTATATTATTAAGCAATTGTTTTTACTGACAGATGTTTGTAGGTAATATCATTTAGTACACAGATATTTACTTAGAAATAATGTCACATAATTAAGATCTTGCAGTTACACTTAATCATTTCTTTCCTTGCACGGATGGGGAAACGTGTTTGTGCGGTAGCCATGGTAACCAAAGGGGCAGAGGAGGTTCATTTTCTACTGAGCTAAAGGCTTCAACATACATTGAGGTTTACTCAAGTGTGTTGAAATTCAGGAACGACTCACAACCACAACCTCGTCCATGGGCAGCTCGTCAGTGAGTGTATAACGGTCGGGTCCATGCCCCCCAAAAAAGGTTTAAGGCCGCTATTGTCCTCAGTCGGAAAATCGACACTGCATGTACGTCTCCTGTGAGGGGGTGTATCCAAACTTTTGGTAGAAAGCCACATTGTTGGGTGCACATTCCAGTGTGATTTTGTAGCAATTGAGTTTTTTGCTGAGAAGAGTGAGCGCTGAAACCAACCTTAAAGGGACAGAGAAAGAAACAGAATGAGGAGAATAAATCAACATCTCTCATGCGAATCATTTTCACTGCATCTCATTCAAAGACAGACATACAAGGACAAAAGTATCAAACCAATACACAATGCATTTGTGCTCACGCAGGTCTACTCACAGTTTGCCCAGCTGCTTTCCTCTGCACACGTCACTAACTACTACCTCCTCCACTCGGCCTCTCTGCAGGATCAAATAGAGAGGAGGTTTGTACGTAATTATTCATTTAACTTCATTTGGCTTATCACAGGGAACCATGTTGATAATTACCACCGTTCTAATATTCACTGCATTAATAAGTAACTTTTTTCAGGAGATTTGTCTTCGGGAAACTGTAGTTGTAGCCTGAAGCAAATCCTATTTCAACACTGTTTAAGAACAGCTGAAAAATAGTCAAGTGTTGGTGATTTGAAGCGTGTTGTTGTTTCCTGGTGATAACCTTTGACAGCTTATTCGCAGACCAATTAATTAAAAAAGGGTATCTAGTGTACATTGAAATGAAAATTTGATCAACCAGTTAATGCAAACATCACAATGTGATAAATATAGCGTAACACAAATGTGATGTTGAATAGTTTGTTTATCAAGACTATGAAATACTCGATTTCAAACAACAGAGAACCAACTGATACCACAGGTGACAGCTAATGGGGACCCTTATTATAAACACACATCCATTGTTAAATACATGCAAATAACTTGCCAGGATGTTATTTACCTTAGCACAGGAGTGGATGAATTTGTGTTCCGTGATCAACGTGGCCGTGGCAACAATCTGTCCCAGGTTTGTGTCCTCCACTACAACTACATAGTAGTCGCCGGTCTTCTTCATATGTTCAAACTTCTCTGGAAGCCAACAGACAACATTTAAAAACATACCTACATATTATATAAATACATATAGTATCATCTTCCTTGAGGTTTCATTAGACAGTTTTGTATTTATAGTTATTTTTTCCTCAAATGGGACGGCTGTTTAACACATAGGGACTTTAATTTATGTTCTGAACTAAATAACTCGATAGTAACTGGTGGTTTTTTTAGAAAAGTGGCGTTAACCATGACTTACTTGTGAACTGCTCTGGTGTGACATCGCCCGTCTGAGTAAGTTGAGATAAAACCTTCAAGAATCCTGGAACAAAAAAAAAAAAAAAAACAGCTGGTGAAAATATCAAAAGGTAATTATTTATCTCTCCGATAGATCTACAACGAAATTCCAAAGACATGCTTTTCATGTTCTTCGAGTTCTCTTGAAAATACCAGTACAGGACTGGTTTCATTCCTCTCACCCCTGTTGAAGTCAGCCAAACAAAGCGGCCTGAGCACCAGGTCTTGCCCCGGACTGGAGGGGGAGATGGGGGGGGAGAAGGAGAGAGGGTTGCTGCTCCAGTCCAGCTCCTGAAGAAGTGAGGGCTCGAACAGCGGAGTCTCGTTTAGCAGCATTTCACAACCTGATGAGAAAACACGCAAAAGGCACATTCGCACACCCAATAAACGTGTGTACACAGAGTAAAGAAAAGAATGCCACACTGAATAGAAAGGCTTTTCTAATCCCTCAAGAGATTCTGCATCAGCTCAGTGAGTTGTGCGGTCAGCCTGGATTGGAGGCATGTTTGCTCACACGGAACTTTGACCTGACGCACACCGCGCAAGTGTCATTACTTAACTGCCATGATTCACTTGTGAGCCAGTTAACAAATATTAATTACAACACACATCCGGCTACGGATTCCAGCGCATCCCCATTCAATCCTCCTGAGTTGGTGGTCGTGGGAAGTAAACACACGTCACAATTGTCGTTTCCATGGCAGCAAAACACAATTATTCCTTAGCGGCGTTACCGCTCCCTGATCACCAAGCGACACAAATAATACGTCTAATAATTGCCGAGACGGCAGAAGCTTGACACGTATCACATTTCAACAAACTGTCCATGTTGCCAAAGTTCATCAAAGTAAAAATAATCCGTGTTACTACCGTCATGTCTAAGCTACGCGTAACCAAAGAAGGTTAAGTTAGCAACAGTTAGCTGTAAAGCGTCATGTAACGTTATAAGTTATAGGACTTATCGTGTGTCCTGTCAGATGAGTGACGTAACTGAGGCCACCTTCATTCAAGCTAACGATCGAGTTTATGACGAGGCCAGCTATCGTCATCGTAGGAGCTGTAACTTAAAAAAGATCACATTAACTTAACGTTAGCGAGCAGCTAACAGCTAGCCGTCGTTAGCAAGCGTAACCACTTACCGGTAAAAAGAAAACCGACGGAGGAGATTCCTGGACTCGGGGCACGAACAGTGACAACTGGGCAGTTGTACAAGTTTTGTAGGTTGGGCTACATCACCGAGCCGACCAGCGTGGGTGTTTTCAGCTGCCGTTTCCGCATGCGAAGCCCTGGGTGTGACGTGGCAAAGATGGTGGAGGAGTGGTGCGCCGGCCGATGACGTAACGTCAGGTGGATCCGGGTTTGACGTCTAAACACGTCTACATCATGGACACACTTATTGGACCAATACAGTCAATGGTCCGCTTCGCAAGGCTTTACTTTGCATTAGCATGTTAAACCATATCATAAGCAAACCTGCAGAAGTCTTTAAATAAAATGCGTTTTACAATGACAAAAGAATAACTATTCCCGTTATATCTTGTTAAAAAGCCGTAGCAGCTCCTTTTATTGAGTCTTTTGTATTAACACTTTACAAAAACTAGATTTACAGAACGTTTTCCATAACTGAACCATTTTTGATTTAGGCCCCAAAATACAGCAAAGCCCAGGCCAAAAAAAGATTTCAGTTTTGATTTAATAAAGAATTCGCTTTAAAGGAATATATCTAATGGAAATTAAAAGTTGTTAAGTAACTGAATGAAAATTATGACATTTTTTCCATTTCAACATAAAAATTAGAAATTAAAATCCTATATTGTCTCTTCTTATGACAACACCAAAACAGAGCTTGAGCAATACAACACAATATAAAGATCACAACACTTCAGCGTTGAGTGGTTTGTGGGCTGCTCTTTGGGATAAAGTGGAAGGAAATGAAAGCACTCGTCTAGATTCATGCATACGTCGCCTCAAACTGCCTTTGCACAGAAATAACAAGAAATCAAACACTTATGATACAGTTTCCATCTTTGCGTCCACTGATATGTCTCAACCAGATAGACTTAAAATTTGAAAATACTGAAAGTGTTTCCAGGGACGAGTTGGAACATAACTGAAATAAGACCTTTGAGCTGCGGATGATTATGTTCCTTGATAATATGAATTTTTAATAAGTCTGTCCAAATAAGATCCCCAGATCATGTATTCATAACTATCTTCAATCATTCAAGTATGGTGTTATTTGGCAACTGGATTGGTTACAAAGTCTCAAGAAGGTTTTGCTGCTGCTGCTCATTTTTACTGTCAAAGCCTTTTGAATGAGTGACAAAAACGTTTTCAAAAGACAGTCCAGCGGTTACAGACTTAATGTGCATAACAAATTCTATATGATGGACACATGGCCAAGTACCCCATCAATATATATTTAGTAGAAAATAAAATGTTCTTACTCAGAGAGAACTGCGTATCATCAGAGGGTGATTTTAGAAAGACAGAGGATGACAACGATTGTACAAAATGTAATACATCCTCTATGCATCTGTAAGGAACATCATTAGATAAACTAAGCTGTACATGTCCACCTTCCCCTGCTAAAATAACTAAACCAATGGGTCATATTACACACTAAATACAGATCAACCCATGTGGGTCCAACACTTGGTATGCAGCATAGGTTGATAGAAACATTCATATTTTGAAAGGCTGAAAAATACTAAAGTGACATTCTCATACTCCAAAGGTAAGAAGAAAAACCATGTTATTTTGCCAACACTTAATTCACAGTTGACTCATAAATTAAACAAATACATCAGATGAGTTTTCTGAAGTTTGAGGACACGCAGCTTTCTGCGATTACGTAAATAAGTGAAACCAACGTTTGATAAAAGAAAACAAAAAAAAACATTTTTATCTAGTAATGACATCTTCACACCGCTCTCATAAAAGACTCTTCTGAATGCAAAGCACGCTGATTTTTGACAGCCAGTCGCAGTCACGGTAGTAACTGTCTGCCTACTGAAGCTGGTGGTTGCAATGTGTGGCACGTGAATAAAGGGCAATGCACCCTTGCATTTCTCGACTTGCAACCATCAATATTTATAATATTCCAAATACTTTGGAATCAATGACAGAGGCCATTCCAAATGGTCCTACCTTACTAAGGCAGGCCAAACCAGTCCAAAGGCGATGCTCTCAATACTTTTGAACTATGGTTTTGAATAAGCAATAACCACTGACTGTAAACCAAATAGGGCATGGTGGGAATAGCTTTGTCTGTGCCTCTTCAGCTGAAGCCAATCGTGTTTTCAAGGTGCCGGGTCTTGTTGAGTTTGTATGCGTCTCTCTGCCGCTGCCGCCATGGTTCTACGCCGCAGCGCAGTCAAGATCAATTCTGGAACAATGTCCTCCTCCAGTCCAGGCAAATCCTCATCCGGGTCCTCTGGACTATGGTTCAGAAATCTCCTACAGTGACAAAATAAAAAAATAAATATTACTTTTGTCTTTTGAATGGAGCTTATTTTTGGAAACACAGCATAGTTGGCAGTACTTTTTGTGAGGTAGAAAACCAGCAGTGTCCAAACCTGCGCGCCTGCAGAAGCATCTCTTCTTTCCTCTGCTTCAACATATTCTGCCTCTCCTCAGCAGACTTAGAGAAGCGACCTCCTCGCACCTCCACGTTTTCCGTCTCACTGAGGCCCTGCTCGGCTGCTCCACTCGCCCCCCCCTGCTCACCTGTTGCAGCGCTCCCCTGTGTAGGGGCACGCTCTATGGCCTGAGGAAGCAGTACAAGCAAAACATGTGACGGCATAATAGTGTTTATTTTCGGAGGCATCGGTGTGAAAGTGACCCTGCTTTTAACATTAAACCCAAAGTTGACCGACCTGTGTTGGGAAAGGCACCTGGATGCGTCCCTCCAGGATATTGTCAGTGGTGACCTCTACAGAGCGCGTCAATTGCAGATCTTGCATGACCAGGTACGAGGGCACCTGAGGGAACATCTCCTGGATCTGATGGGCCTGATAACCACATGGTACATCCAAAACAAAGAGCATAATGATTAAGAAAAAGTTTAAGTTGGCCGTAAAACGCACAATATCGCGCATTTAAAATGTAGAAAATCTTTCAAAATGGATGAACTCACCATGGCCATGAGCTGGGAGTTGTTGGCCTGAGCAATGCCCAAGATGTTGGTGGTGTGCATTACTTCCACTGAGAAACTGGGCAGCCAGCTGGCAATGCGAGATCCTGCAAAGGAACGTATGGATTGTATAGTTGGTTACCATGCACGGCATCTCAAGTAAAGTAAATCCAGGTTCAGCTCAGATATGTGTCCGACAGATTTACCATCAAAGTGGAAGAAGTGATTGTGTTGGTTGACGTGTGGTACAGCATCTGGAGCAGCCCCAACTGTGCCAATGTTGTCTTCTAAGCCAGCGCCCTGCTGCTGGCCTCTCGCCGGGGCCCCGTCTCCACTAATGTTAAGGGATGTGCGACACGTTGGACAAGAAGTGTCCTGCTCAAGCCAGGAGCGCAAACACGAGCTGGAAACACACACACACACACACGTTATTATGGCATTTTATGAGCAGAAAACTTGACATTAAACATTTCCAGTTTCCGGGTAACATCAGGATCGGTGAGAAACATCTTACTGAAACTGTAAACCTTCAAATTTCTACAACTCAAGGGTAAATGATATTCAAACGTTATTTTGTGTAGGCCATATATAAAGTAACGGGTCTGTGGTGCCGGCAAAGTTGTGTAGAGCAGTGGTCCCCAACCTTTTCTACCTCACGGACCGGTTTCATGTCAGACAATATTTCGCAGACCGGCCCGGTGGTTGGGGACCACTGGTGTAGAGTATTGGTATCTGCTCGCCAGTGCACTTTATTTTTAACTTTTCATTTTTATCTTCTATTTTGAAGATTAAAAAAACAAACAAAAAAACAAAACACTTTACTTGTGGAAGAGATGGCCACAGGGTAGTCTGCGTGCGGTCAACATGGCATCCCAGCAGATGGCGCAATCATCATCATTAGCTGCCAGCTCCTCAGCGGTAGCAATTGCAAATCTATTCAGAGCATATACAAATAATGCCGAAACAAGAAATGATCAACCAACACAGATCAAGAAAACCCATCAGGTAAAAAAGGGGAAAACAATTCAATCAAAATGTATTTTCACCTGGCCTCCATGTTGTTGATGACACGAAGGTAGTTCTTGTGTCGGCGGACGCGGCGCTGAACCTCGTGGAAGAGATACCGCAGCTGCATGAAGATAACCAAGCTGGCCATGGACAGCCAGATGTTCCCGAAAAGCTAAAGCAGGAATTTTGTACAAAAAGATTAAAGATCTTGTTCTTTCCCTCCCAGTTAAAATGTTCTCTCTGGGGGAGTTTTTGCCTCCTTCGATTCAAGGAGCCGAGCAAGAGGCAGCCATATGTTGTACGAGGCAAATTCCTGATGTGTAATACTTCACTATACTAATAGAAAGTAATGGAACCATTCCATTTGCGTCTTACCAGCATATGGATGTGGTGCATGAGGTCCAGGAAGAGCATAGCCAGCTCCATGACGAAGTCTGTGTAATAGACATATGTTCCCTTACTCTCCCAGGTCCCCGGATGGTTTAGATCCCAAAGATGAATGGAATAACTGAGGGGACATGCAGAACTATCAGGCCATGAAACTTGATATTAAGACAGCATGGTGAGGCACTTCACTCATATGGTGAATAAAAGTTACCAATGCATGAAACAAAGATGGTGTAGAAGTATTGTGGTAGAATTTAACAAGTAGCATTGGAATCAGAAGCAACAATTCCAGATAACAAGGTGAGAGTAACAGTGTAATGACAGAATCAAAGTACACAATTTGCACATAATATCCCAATGTCTAAAGGCTCTAAGTTTAGGTCAATGTGCTGGGTTAAAAAACTAGAAATCAACTCATTTTTGGAGTTAAAGTAATACGCAGCCACAGAATCTAACAGTTTTATTGTTGGACTAATATTTAAAAAGTATCTCTGAGCGCCTTGACTGATCAGAGTTGTTCATACTGCTTGTATAATCCGAGCCACTCTCTTTGGGACAGAGAAACATTTCACAGTGGTGTTACAGAACCAAAAAAAAGAATTCTAAATCTGCAGTTACACGGTTAGTGTTTTAATGTGGACACACATGCAAAGAGAAACGTACCGCATGATGACGTGCCCAGTGCGCACAGTAACCAGCAGACACTGAGGAGAAAAAAATAAACAGGCTGAAGCAAAGTAACTCTCATGCACCACTTTCATAGAAACACTACACATTATACAGACGTTACCGTTACGATGTATTTATGGTCCATTATATTTATAAATGGTGTAAAGACAATCTGTGTTTTCATCAGACCAAACCCCAATTTAGAATATCCGCTTATGCAAATATAGTTTCTGTATCAAACAATCAAGCCTTTCTTTCCCCGAGTGCCCATTTAGACTTTGTAGCAGAATCAGCACAGCTGTAACTAAAACATCAGAGAGGATTACAGAGCCCCACAAGGCCGTACTCATGAGCCAGTTTCTACAATACCGGTGACCTGGAACACATAAATGGAATGCGATCACTATTTATTACAACTTTAAATTTTCTTACTTCATTGTCCAATTGTCTGCCATTAAAGACGTTGGCCATGTTTATAATACGACACATGAGACACATTTATACATAAGCATGCCAAACAGACGGGGAAAGAAAACAAAATATATGCGCTAGATCAAAAGCTTTAGTGATATTAAAAGTCCACAATCACCCCGACCACCCATTGTGGCTCCGGGTTCCTACCTCGGCTGCCATGAAGGAGAAGGTGTGCATGCCATGGGAAGCTCCCAGCAGACCACCACAGCCCACAGCCAGACCGCAGCAGTCCAACAGCAACGAGACCAGTAGGCAAAGCACTCGTACATGACTGTTCATGGGAGTGGAGGGTGAGAAGGACAGCTGTCGGGAAGAAAACGGGAATAATAAACAGATTGCTCCTCTCTAAAAGTATTACCTATCTGTTTTGGGGAGGTTAAAAAAAAAGTTGAATTTTAGAACTATTAGAACTATTTGGGAAAACTGACACATGTCTAGTGAATAGAACCCAATTTAGGACATCATTATACAAGTTAAATTGGTTCTATAAAGCTTTAGAAGCATCAAGTGTCCCTAGTACATTGACCACACTGCATACAATGGATCTTATTTAGCAGTTTGACAATCATGCGTCTTGTTCCTCCAAAAGACAGCACCAAGACAACTGACAGACTCAATCCAAAGAAAGAACATAAATAAATGATTATCTATAGCCAAAGATGGGAGTAAGGAAGACTTGCGGTCAGCAAACAAACAGGTCCATTTCCACAGCTAATTTACACTCTGGTACAGTGTGACGGTCAGCATTACATCACACACAACATTCCAAATCAATACCCGCTTTAAATGTCAGCGCTTTTGAGAGCTATTGGGGTTGAATACATTTGATATTTTGTTTTCCACAACATGCAGACCCCAATCTAATACGGGGATGTGTCGATCAGCAGACCAACACGCCAGCTCAGGGAACTATTAATAGATCCGGAGAGTACAGTTACTCTCAGGCTTTATTTTGGACCCCGCAACTAATAAGAACATATTGCTATATAGTTAAGCGCATGCTATCTGAAGAAATAAGAGCTCAGTAGGTGCAGATGACAAAAGTACCCTTTACCATGATACATCTAATTAAGAGATGGTGGTTTTCAAAGGAAAAACACAAGACTTTTTTTTTTTTATTTTTATTTTTTTTTAGACAATTTGACTTTGTATTGCAGACTGGCTGGTCGTCTGAACGTTTAGCACAATATTAGAAGATGAAATTCCAGAATTTATCTTTCAGGTGCTGAGGAACACACAGAGCAAACCGGATGCATTTGTTTCCAAAAGATCGACCCTTACAAAGAGCAGCGATATACAGGCTTGAGAAGGGTTGAATTCATTGTTCAAGACGCACACTCACCTGCTTCTCACTAACTCTGAGCGGGCCAAACACTACATACTGAATCATTTTCGCAATTAACATCAACAAGCAGCAGAATGTGTTGACCAATACCTAAAGGAAAACAGGGAATAAAGAGACGATGAGCTCTCAGCAGAACATACAATCATCAGGCAATGCAAATTTCAAACCGGCTGACACTCACCCATACGAAGAGACTGTCAGTGGCAATATACCACAGGATAGTGGTAGTCAATTCCGTGTTAATAATATCATTGTTTAGTTCGAGATCCCCTTCAGTTGGCGCTGGCGTTTCATCAGATTCCAAGACCCCGAAGCCAGGATCAGTCACAGTGTTGTAGGCACTAAAAAGGGTGCCTGCGAGCAAAGCCACGCTAAGTGCGGTGTAGGTCTGCAAGCTGGGCCAAGGAAACCTCTCCAAAAAAAGCAGAGGCATTGCAGTGGCGATGGTCCGATTCTCAACGTGTGATTATGGGGTCTGTCCCGAGCCAAAGACACGACCTGCGAGGGCGGAAGTGGGTTAGCTAACGCTGGGCCTTGGTAGTGGAAACATATTCAAGTGTTAGCCTATGCTAGCTAGTTTACAGCAATATGGTTAGATGATTGAAATAATCGCCTGGTTGTTTGAAAGGCGGCAATTGTGACAGCAATGTTTTTTTTTATTATTAAGTATTAGCTGAACGTACTACATATGTAGTACGTTCCTCCATCAGATGGCGTGGCAGTAGGTACAAACGGTGGACATTGATTTATTGGTAACGTTGCGCGAGTTAAGTTAATCTGACAGGGCTGTGGAGGAAGCATAGCGCCTTCAAACCAAAGAGGTTTGGAACCACGGTGCTGGTTAACGTACTCTCACTTCTAAAGCAAGGCTAGCACGTTAGCTCGCTACACTTAGCTAGAAAGGGGGCAAATTACTCCTCATTTGGACCATTATGAAAATGTAAGTGGTCAAAAAAGCCAAAATAACCTGAAACACGCGACCAGGGATCCAACCGGTTGTGCAACATTACTTGAAGATATATAACGTTACGTTACCCGACAGAATAATACGCGTTCACGCCCCTAATGTTAGCTAACGTTATTTACACGGCAAACGTTAGCTCATACTAGCTTATTCGCTAGCTCATCCTAACAACGCTGCTAGCCACAAAATAGCTATAAACAATACGCTTGTATTACGTTAAATTGTCACTCACAGTTTGTCACAAATGTAGATTTACACAATATCCAACGACCCTCGTTGTAGGTAAATGGTTTACGTTTAGTGCCAATGCACCAAAGACACCGTCGCTGTCAACATCGTCATGTTTATTTAATCTAGTTGGCTGAGGAGCGTTGTTCTTCTTCTGCTGCTCCTTCTTTTTCTTCTTCTTCGTACTTTATGGCAACTGGCTAAACCCGTCGTGGCGCATTATCGCCACTAACTGGTTCGGGGTGTGTATTGGGATTTGAATTATTCATTCATTCATACTAATGGAATTCCTTCTTCCATCTCTAATGCTGGTGTTGTGCTTGTTCTGCTAATCTTTAAATGGCAGCTGCTTGAGAGGAAACATCTTCTCCTATGAAGTTTATCAGTTTCAACAGTTTTACTGCCGTCTTCAAGACTTTCATGAATTCCAGTTTGTCAGATCAGACGCTCTTTGGTAAAGTTCCTGTTACACCTAATCTTTCACCATCTTCCATAATTTCTGTTTCCTTCTGACGCACATAAAACACAGACGTTTACACTTTGTGGTATCTTAAAGTGATAGCGAAAGTAGTTGGATGATTACCTAAAATTTGAAGTGTCCCATTATTTATCGAGTTCCTGTTTTTTTTCAAAGTATTTTAAGAGTAAATGACTTCCCTTTATTCCCTGATCTTATGGATATTGCCACAACTCCACAGTATGGCATTTTAGATCAGTTAGTATATCTCAACTCTTTGGCTAGAAACGTATAGGAACCTGTTCATTCAATCCATTTGTAAAATCATAATAATGCATAATGCAATTCATTATATTAATGATATACTGATACTGAAACTGATTGGCTGGCCCTACCAAAAAAAATAATCCACCAGCCGCCACTGCTCAAGCATCAAATAAATGTCCTGTTCAATAATTTCACACCGGTGCCGACAGAACTACTGCGGTGATCTTCAAATTAGAAATACGTTAATTGAAAGAACCTTTTACCAAATTAGACCTACTTGAGCATCATATACAATACAAGGTATAAGTGAAAGTTAAAAACAATAGAGCAGGCCGTTGTGTTTAGATGCTTTATTCCACACAGAATTAAATCTGACTATCTGTGAAAATGCACGGTAATGATACAAATGGTTGCCATTCTTGCAATATGGAGTTCAAAGTTAATGTGTGGAAATTATATTAGCCGTAAAGGAAGGTTTAGTCAGTGATTGGACAAAAGAAATTTACAAAAGAGTTTGGTTTTGACTGCAAGACAGCAATTAAAGTTAATGATTCTGTGGCAATTAAAACTTTCTGATAACAGAAACCAAAGGTCCTGGAGCACAGATCATCTGTGTACTCAGGGGCGGAAAAGGTGCACTAAATACACGGCGCGTTGCCCACTTAACGCATTGCACCTATCGACCGGTCAGTGGCCTACTTGGAGAAATACCCATGGACTTAATTTTGCATGATTACAAATAAATGATATTGTATATGTTTTCATAACATTTAGATCCAGCAATCTGCCCGAGTGGACACATGGAATATAATTATACTGGCTATTGTAACACTCCAAGGTTGGTAAATTTTATTATATTATATGAATATGCTTCACTCTGGTTATATTTATAGCCACAGAGGCTTGAGGAATGAATAATGAATGCCAGCAGAGAAAGACCACACAATAAAGAGCAGAGTAGAATTAGTGTGAGCTATGTTGTAGAAATGAACAGAACATACGATGGGACGAGAACATCAGTGGTATCCGCAGTTTTGCATGCTGGGTTTGTGTGTGTGTGTCTGGGGTTGTTGAAGGTGCGTAACAAAACAAAAAGTTGTGTCACTAGTCGGTGGTTTCGCAAATAAATCAGAGATGTTTAAATCATTTTACAAAATATGACTGATACAATACCTGCAATAAATTTCGAGATACTATTTCTGCGCGGCCTCGCCCCTGTGAGCCCGCCCATGTGTGCACTGTGAAACAATAGCTGGTAAACTGACTTTACTTCCAGATCACTCAAAGCAAAACTGACACCTCTGGGTGGTTATCTGTCCCGTGACTCTCAAATGGCCCTGTTCAAATAATCCAGTAAGGAAAGTGAACACTTGCCTGTACAGCACTTTGTTATTTTCTTTTTCACGCAGACGCCACCGTCGGCACGTCCAATTCGCGGCATGAACGACTCCACCGAGCTGTCTTCTGCGGAGGAAATGTCCCCTGAGGAGTTTGACGGCGGGACAGCAGTGGCTTGTGTGATCCTGGCCCTGTCCTTCCTGGTGGGAGCTCCGGGGAACCTCCTGGTGATCTGGACTATCCTGAAGCACGTCAAGCAGCGGTCCCACACGGTGGTGCTCATCCTGCACCTGGCCGTGGCCGACCTGCTGGTCCTCATCACCCTGCCTCTGTGGATCTACTCCCTGGCACACACCTGGGCGCTTGGGAAATACCTTTGCATGGCTTTGGTGTACACGGTCAGTGTGTGCATGTTCAGCAGCATTTTCTTCATCACCCTCATGAGCGTGGAGCGCTATGTAGGCATCTGCCGTCCGTTTGTGATGAGGCGGTGGAAGACGACGTTCATGAACAGATGCCTGGCGCTGTTGTGGCTGCTTGCTTCGCTGCTGGCAGTGCTGTGTGTCCTGCTGCAGCCTGGAAGCGATGGAACTGAGCAGTGTTTTGCGTATGAATTGACTTCTGTGACTCAAGCAATCCTTTTGCTATGTCTGCAGACCGTGTGGGGCTTTTTAATTCCCTTCATCATTCTCAGCATCTGTTACTTTCTAGTCGCCGCTGAGCTCAGGAAAAGGAGTTTCGACTCCAAACAGAAATCCGTGGGTCTTGTTTACGCCGTGGTCGTGGCTTTCGCACTCTGCTGGCTGCCTTATCACATCATTAACATCATTGATCTGGTTTGCAGTCTAAGATCAGGCACAGAACGCGAATGTGTGTCTCAGAGTTTGGTCTTCAGCGCCGGTGCCCTGGTTTTCATCAGCAGTTCAGTGAACCCTGTGCTGTACGCCCTCTTTGCAAGAAACTTCCAGGGGAGTCTGGAGCAGTCCCGACTGGTCCGGTTGTTCCAGGAAATGGTCTCGCACACCAACAAACTCAGGGATCTGGTAGCGCAACAGGAACTGGACAGAGGGCAGCAAACAGTAGAGCTGATGTCTGATATGAAATGTGAAATTAGTCTTCTGTAGTTAAGGAGGGGACTTTATTACGAGGATCTGTATTGAACCAAAGGCTTTGACAGCCGGTATGTCACGTGTACGATTCATGCCGTTAACACTCAATGCTATCAATGCAAACCAACACACGGTTGGAATTTTCTTGTTTCTGAGTTTTACTGATAGCTCAATGCTGTATAGTTTTTAAAAATGAGAACTTAAAATACGTGCATGCTCACATACGTGCTGTGTTATGTGTTTGGTTGTTTATAATTCATTGCCTGACCTTTTCTGACTTTTTAAAATCTAATTAATCTAAATGAACCTGAAAACTGCTATGACATTTACTTTTTGTTCATTATTAAATTTAAATTAGTTTATCATACAATCATGTTGGAATTTAACCTCGAATAACTTGACTACCTCTCTTTGGGGAAAACAGGCCCCAGTAAGCACTCAAGGTAAATAAAAACTCTATATGCTAATCAAAAGAATCATGCAGTTTTCTCATTAATCAGACCCTGGTTATCAGGTAGTGGTCACCAACCTTTTTAAGCCCTATTGGACTATTGGAATCCATCACTGTCTTTTCTCTGGGGGGGCCGGGCCGGACCCCCCAGAGGGCAATCATTTGATACTCTTTTATCCAACCTCCCTTTAATCCATGACATAAGGTGACAAATGGACTTATGACGCGTCCATGAATCATCTCTCTGGGTGTCAAAAAGCACCCGTCAGGAAACCCTTTCCTGTCTATTTTTAAAGGGAAGTGAACACTTGCTTGTACAGCACTTTGTTATTTTCTTTTTCATGCAGACGCCACCGTCAGCACATACACTCGCGGCATGAACGACTCCACTGAGCTGTCTTCTGCGGAGGAAATGGCCCCTGAGGAGTTTGACGGCGGGACAGCAGTGGCTTGTGTGATCCTGGCCCTGTCCTTCCTGGTGGGAGTTCCGGGGAACCTCCTGGTGATCTGGACTAT